TCAGGTGATACACCTGCCTCAGCCTCCCAAACTGCTGGGCTTACAGGCTTGAGCCACTGTGTCCAGCATAGGCCAAACTAACTTTAGGAGGAAGTATATATAGTTTAATCTTAAAGTAAGGAGAGCAACAGCCCTTTCCCAAACTATCCCCTCCTCATTGGAGAACAGGAATCATCTTTGTAGAACCAATGAAAGGACACAAGATTAGGATTGTGAAGGGGGCCTGAATTCTGCTAAGATGTAGGCATAAATGATAACCAACCATTGTTCCAGAGGTCACAAAATTTGTAATTTCTCCAATCTACTCCTGTAGATAACATCACTATTGTAGAACCTAAGATTGGTTTTCCTTTTCCTTTTCTTACTTTTTTTCCTCCCTTTGACCAGGTTGGAGTGTAGTGGTGCCATCTTGGCTCAGTGCAACCTCTGTCTCCTTGGTTCAAGTGATTCTCCTGTCTCAGCCTCCAAGTAACTGGGATTACATGCGTGAACCACCATGGCCAGCTAATTTTTGAATTTTTAGTAGAGATGGGGTTTCACCTAGTTCGCCGGGCTGGTCTCAAACTCCTGACCTCAAGTGATGCACCCACCTTGGCCTCCCAAAGTGCTAGAATTACAGGCATGAGCTATTGCGCTCAGCCCTAAGGTTGGTTTTCTGAGATGTTTTTCAGACCTTTGGATTTCTGAGGACTGGCTGACGACACCCAGATCCACAACTCAATCAGTCCTGTGGCCCCACCCCAGAGGCTGACTCAGAGCATAACGACCACTTTCCACGCCCCTGGTGATTTTATCTTCAGCAAACCAGCAGCATCTATTCCCTAAACCCTGAATGCCAAGTTATCCTTAAAAACCCCAGTCTCTAAGTTTCCAGGGAGGCTGATTTGAGTAATAACCTCCTATCTTTCCATGTGACTAGCTTTGCATTAATTAAACTGTTTGACAACAATTCCAGTGTCTCAGTGAATCAGCTCTATCTGTGCAGCAGGCAAGAAGAACCCATCAGGGGATTACACTATCGGCTTTGAGCTTTTGAGACTCCTGACTTTTGCTTTTTTTTTTTTTTTTGAGACAGAGTTTCGCTCTTGTTGCCCAGACTGAAGTGGAATGCCACGACATCTCAGCTCACTGCAACCTCCGCCTCCTGGGTTCAAGCGATTCTCCAGCCTTAGTCTCTTGAGTAGCTGGGATTATAGACATCCACCATCACACCCAGCTAATTTTTTTGTATTTTTAGTAGAGACAGGGTTTCACTATGTTGGCCAGCCTGGTCTCAAACTCCTGACCTCAGGCGATCCACCTACCTCAGCCTCCCAAAGTGCTGGGATTACAAGTGTGAGCCACAGCACCTGGCCTGACTTGCTTTTAGTTGGGGAGATTTTTATTATTTCAAAATGTTTGTATATACTGAAATTTATTAATCTTTTATATTGTACTATTTTCAATGCATAATTTAAATGAACATAAAACAAGTATGCACTATAGAGGCTTTAAGTGTTGTTGGACTCAGAAACCAATACCCCAAAATATGGCATTTTGACATGCTGAAATGGAGAAACCTCAAGTTCTCTCTGACCTCCCCAGCCACCATCTCTCACAAAGAAGTGGAAGTGCCTTTATCTGCCTAAGAGTCAGACCCACCAAAGAAAATAATTGTTTGTTCTTCTTCCCCTCCCTGTAAGAACAAGAATGTAACCACACTAGAAGAGACACTTTCACTATCAAAGAGAACTATTCACAAATTAATCTGTGTTCAGGGATCCATTCATTCCCCTAGTAATTCCCTCAGCAATTTGTCTTCTCCCTACCTCCCACAACCTGTTTTACCAGGATTCAAGCCCCCATTCTTTCTGTAACCTCAAGATGGTATATAAACTGCTGTACCTCATTGGGAGGTTAGGGCTTAATTTGGAAGGCTCCCATGTATATGTGTCAAACACATTTGTATGCCTTTTTTCCTATTAATAAATCTGCCTCTTTCCAGGCCAGTGGCTCAAGCCCATAATCTCAGCACTTTGGGAGGTGGAGATGGGTGGATCACAAGGTCAAGAGATGACCATCCTGGCCAATATGGTGAAACACTTTCTCTACTAAAACTACAAAAAAATTAGCTGGGTGTGGAGGCACACACCTGTCGTCTCAGCTACTCAGGAGGCTGAGGCAGGAGACTCACTTGAACCCACAAGGCAGAGGTTGCAGTGAGCCGAAACCATGCCACCATACTCCAGCCTGGGTGACAGAGCGAGACTACGTCTCAAAAAACAATAATAATAATAATAATAAATAAATCTGCCTCAGGTGAGTGATTTTGCAGCAAATCTTCAGGGGACCAGCGGCCTTGGTCCCTGCCATGTGAAAGTGCAATGGGTGATATAAGGCCCCTTGCACCTCTAAAGGGCAATTCCTGTTAATCAATAAGCAAGCATTCTCATGGGTCTGAAGTGGTTCAGGGTGTGTCGATGACAGGCAAGTATTAAAAGATGGTGTTAAAAGATGTCTGTTCAGGTTGACTCCAAGTAAAATTGGTGATGATATTAGTTTTGTGCCAGAGTGTCCTAAGCCTTTCACACCCATTATTATATTAAATTCTTAAAATAGCTCCAAGAGGTAAAGATAATTAATGCCCCCATTTTACAGATGAAGAAACTGAGACATAAAAAATTTAGCAAGTTGCCCAAGGTCACTGAGCTGATAAGTGATGGTGCTGGGATTTGAACTTAAATACCCCCAGAACCCAGGTGTAATTGTCTTACTACAACCCAAATAGTTGTGATGTACACATAGATTCTCAGATGCTTCCGCTTTTTTCTCCCTTCAGGAATGTTTATTTTGTAAGTACTGCCCTATCTACAACTGTGATGAGCATGGGTATGCTTATGGTTGACCCTTTTTTTTTTTTTTTTTTTTTTTTTTGGTTTTTTTTTTTTGAGATAGGGTCTTGCTCTGTCATCCAGGCGAGAGTACTGTGGTGCAATCAAGGCTCTCTGCAACCTCAAACTCCTGGGCTCAAGCCATCCTCTTGCCTCAGCCTCCCAAGTAGCAGGGACTACAGGTGTATGCTACCATGTCCAGATTATATTATTATTTTTTTTTGAGATGGAGTTTCACTCTTGTTTCCCAGGCTAGAGTGCAATGGCACAATCTTGGCTCTACAACCTCTGCCCCCCAGGTTCAAGCAATTCTGCTGCCTCAGCCTCCCAGGTAGCTGGGATTACAGGCATGTGCCACCACGCCCGGCTATCCCAGATTATTATTAAGTTTTGTAGAGTCAAGATTTCACTATATTGCCCAGGCTGGTCTTGAACTCCTGGCCTCAAGTGACCCTTCTGCCTCAGCTTCCCAAAGCACTGGGAATATAGATGTGAGCTGACACACCAGCTCTATGGTAGACACTTTAGAAATACAAAAGATAGAAGGCAAAGATGACCATTGTTAAAAATTTTGGCATATTTCTTCTGGTTATTTTTTCTAAGTACATGGTTTTTTTCCCATCTGCTTGTTGGTTGGTTTAATTTTTGTAGAGACAGGGGTCTCACTACGTTGCCCAGGCTGGTCTCGAACTCCTGGGCTCAAGCAGTCCTCCTGTCTTGGCTTCCCAAAGTGCTGGGATTACAGGTGAGAGCCGCTGCACCTGGCCAGTATGTTTAATTTACATATATGTGACCAAATTGTATATACAATTTTAGTATTTCTTTCTTCCCTTTATATTTATAAATATAGATTTATAACATGCTATCCCATCCCATGATGTTAAAAACTTCATAAACTTCCTTTATATAGGCTGCATAAGGTAATATTGCTTGGCAGTTCCACATTATGTTTACCATTCATGTTGGACATTTGAGTTTTTTCCAGCTGCTTTTTACTGTGGGATAAATCTGTTCTCTCCTTTTTTTTTTTTTTTTGAGAAAGGGTTTCACTCCCATCGTCCAGGCTGGAATGCAGTGACATGATCTCGACTCACTGCAACCTCCACATCGTGGGTTCAAGTGATTCTCCTGCCTCAGCCTCCCACAGTTGCCCGCCACCACACCCAGCTCATTTTTGGTAGAGACGGGCTTTCACCTTGTTGGTCAGGCTGCTCTGGAACTCCTGACCTCAAGTGATCTGCCTGCCTTGGCCTCCCAAAGTGCTAGGATTACAGGTGTGAACCACCGTGCCCAGCACTGTTCTCTCTTTCTTGATAGTTTCCCTTCTGACATTTCTTTACATCCTCCTCAGACACCCAGTAACTTTAATATTCCTCTACCCTTCTTTCTCTCAAAGTTTACTTTCTAGAAAGGAGATGATAAACTCATTCATACCAAAGTCTACGGGGTTGTAAATCTTAATCTATTATCGCTTCAAAGATGCTTGTATCAATTTACGCCAAAGGAATAACTCTAATTGTGAGGATTTAGTCATTAGAAAATCTAGTAGGGGAAATTCTCCCTACCCGCAATCAGGGTAGATTCTACCATAAGCAAAAAGTGTTCCAGGCTCGCTTAATATTAGGAAAGCTGGTAAGAAGACAGCTTACAGCTGTGGAGGTACTCATTTGGTAAGGGGAGAGAAAGAGTTTGTGCGAAAGTGAAAAAAAAATGGGTAGAAAAATGGGATAGAATCAGAAATTCACTTAGCAACACCAAGTATATTTGGCACCACTAACCTAGTTTCTCCTGTGTTTGCCTTTCCAATGGGTTTGGCCTTAGGGATGGGCCGCCCACTTTCTCCCCAGAACAGCTCCCCGGTGGGTTCTCAGTCCTAATTACTGCACCAACTCTCCAAGCTCCGGGGCCTGTGGTCACAGAGCAAGTCCCAAGGAGCGGAAGTAAAGTTCTAAGAGGCATCACAATCTCCGTGTGCAGGGATCACTTCCAAGCCCAGTGTCCACAGACAAATCACCTCCCGCGACTCGAAGAGGAGAGTTAATAATCCCTGTGGGGCAACGGAAGCTCCGCATTAAAGTTTCCAAAGCCCTGTTCTGCCACAGGACTCCGTTCTCTCCTCACAGAGGCTTCAGGCTTTTGCGGCTGCTGTCAAATGCCAGCCTGCGTGCCGGGGCAAGAGAGACCCAAGGCAAAATCAGTTTCCCCCAACTCCAAAGGGCACCGGTTCTCCAGGTGCCAGCACTGGAAATTGCTGGTGTGAAGAAAGGAGAGGGAGGCGTGCAGGATGAAGTTCACGCCAAGGGGGGTCAGTGGCTCCGCCTCTCTGGGGTAGGAACAGAAGAAAACCCTAAACCCAAAGACCTAAGGTGGGGACGTGGAAAGCGAGACAAACTCCAGCGGAAGGCTGTGGAGTAAGACGCAGGGTTCCCAGAGAGGCCGCCCCAGCTCCTGCCGCAGCGCTGGGCGCCCTCCCACGCCTGCTCCCTGGGGACCCCGGGCGCCCCACGCACGCACCCACCCTCCCTCCCCGGGTTCGCCGCTCCTCCCTCCTGCCTCGCTGGTTGGCCCGGGCGCCGCCGAGCGCGGCGGCGGCAGGAGGAGCCGGGCGCGCCTGCCACGCAAAGCCACCAGGCTGGCAGGGCGGCTGGTGCGGTGCGCGATCCCAGGTGGCAACAGCAACGGCGGTGGTGACAGCGGCGACTGCAGCGACCAGCGCTCACCTCTCTCCTATACACCCGCATCTCGCCAGCCGCCTAGCAGCCAGCGGTCCCCGGGTCGCCTAGCACGCGTGCACGGCCGAGCTCCGCGCACAATAGCGGCGACCGCCATGGGGAAACCCGCGAGGAAGGGATGCGAGTGGAAGCGCTTCCTGAAGAATAACTGGCTGCTGCTGTCCACCGTGGCCGCGGTGGTGCTAGGTGAGCGACGCGGTGGGTGGGAGATGCGCGCACCCTCACGCGCTCCCTGCGCCCAGGCCGCGTGCGGCAGTGAGGGTGGGCTTGGCGCTGGCGCACTCCGTGCAGGGTCCCTCGGCGCCCCCTAGGTCTTAGCCTCGCCCCACTCTCCTGGCCGGGGCTTTACCCCAAGCGATCTGATTACTGCACACTAAGAACAAAGCTCCTCAGGGACTCGCATGTGAGTGCTCTTTGAGCTGCTGGTTCCTGCTCAAAATGATCAAAGGGGCTTGGGGGTGGAAAAGGAAGCAAGCAGCTCTCGATTCTGCTCGTTTGAAAACAGGGTTCGATTTTTTTCTTTGTTAATCTTGCACCGTATCTCCCCCTACCACCGACACCTTTCTCATCCCCCACCCCCAGCCACGCTGCCTGGACAGAGATTGAGTGTGGATTACAGTTCTCAGTCGAACTGGAAGAGGCACCTTGGCCTCCGGGATGGGCCGGACCCTTAGGGACGGGAGGCTGAGAACGTTGCCGCCGCTCACCCTGGGCAGTGCGTGGAAAGGTGCCTTACCACGCGGCAAGCGCCAACTGCCTGCACTCGGGCTCTGAAAAGCTGCCAGTTTCATGCCTGAATTCTGGGATGTGCCATTGTGGCCCACGGGAGGTTAAGGGGAAGAGAGCTAAAAGAACTCCTGCCTTCCTTGCTCTCCACGTTGTTTTTGTATTTAAAATAATGTTTAAGTCATTCTTGCCTGTTTTAAACAAGGGTGTATTTAAGTGATCCACCCCTCATAGATCACTGGACCAGGTGGATGTCTGAGCCATTGCTCAGAGGTATGAGTTATTCCTTTTTTTTTTTTTAATTTTTTATTGCATTTTAGGTTTTGGGGTACATGTGCAGAACGTGCAAGACAGTTGCATAGGTTAGATTCTGATTGTGTGTTTTCTAGCTTGGGCCTGGGGATGCAATTCCTTGGGGCTAGGGCCCTATCTGTCTCCTTTTCCTGTGATAGCTCCAAAGTAGGGACTCTCGGCAGGTAAGGGCTGTTGCACCCTCCGGGGAATGTGGATTCCTTGGCAGTCTCCACCTTCCCTTTGGAAACTGCAGAAGTGTCTGCTGAAAACACAAGTGGGGACACCTTGTCCCCTCCCAACCTCAAGTTCCTTTCCAGTTGCTGCTTCCAAAACACAAGTGGGGACACCTTGTCCCCTCCCAACCTCAGGCTCCTTTCCAGTTGCTGTTTCTAAATCTCAGAATACATGGTGTTACCTCCTTTCCCTCTGAACCCCCCTCTCTCCCTCAGGGTGGAGGAAGGGGAGGGAAATGGCCTTTGGAAGTTAATGGGATTCTTGGGGTCAGACTGGATTCTCCAGAACCTTGTGCAAAGGAAAGTGAGGTTTCTAGTAAATAAATAACATCCTGGAATAGCCCTAGGAGAGGCTATTTGTAGGATGAAAGAAGGAAAGTAGAGAAGCAAATCTGGAATATTTTCCCCCAAGAAGTGCCCAGTGGTTTTGGACATTTTTAAGGGAAGGTTTATCTTACTCCACCATATTTAAATCACAGCTACAAAGAACAATTTTATTTCCTTTAGGGCAAAGAGAGGAGATTATTTTTCTAGTGACAAGAGTTGAGGATTAATTGTTAAAACTCTTTTTAAAGACGTTGAGAGAGGCTTACACCTGTAATCCCAGCACTTTGGGAGGCTGAGGCATGTGGATCACTTGAGATCAGGAGTTCAAGACCAGCCTGGCCAACATGGTGAAACCCCATCTCCACTAAAAATAAAAAATTAGTCAGGCATGGTGGCACATGCCTGTAATCCCAGTTACTCAAGAGGCTGAGGCAGAAGTATTTCTTGAACCCAGAAGGCAGAGGCTGAAGGCAGCCAAGATTACACCACTGCACTCCAGCCTGGGTGACAGAGCAAGAATCCACCTTAAAAAAAAAGAAGAATTTTAGAGGGCCAGGCTTGGTGACTCACACCTATAATCCCAACATTTTGGAAGGCCAAGGAGGGAGGACTGCTTGAGCCCAGGAGTTGGAGACCAGCCTGGGCAATGTGGTGAAACTCCATCTCTACAAACAAAATAAAACTAAAAAAAAATAAAAATTAGCATGGTGGTACACACCTGTAGTCCTAGCTACCTGGGAGGCTGAGGTGGGAGGATCACCTGAGCCCAGGGAGGTCAAGGCTGCAGTGAGCCGTGATCATGACACTGCACTTCAGCCTGGGCAATGAGAGTGAGACCCTGTCTAAAAGAAAAGAAAGACTTTTCAAGGTAAAAATTGGCTTGTGTCTCCCTCCTGATTCCCTGTGAAAGTGAAGTAATCCTGCCTTTTCAGCATGGGGCTCTCCAGAGACATTCACTTGTTACCTAAATGTTGCACAGGTGGTCAGCATGCCGATTCACTAGAGACTGGTTTGGAAAATATTTTAAGCAACTGTTCCCTGGCTTTTGGAACCAGTTGCATGAATACATCTTCAGGGTCAAGAAATACATGCCCATTTTGCAGACATGACCTTTGGTCTCAGATTGACACTTTCCTCCAATTTTAATGTGTGTGAGCTTGGTTTAGGTACTCTTCTCCAGAAAGGAAAGCCACTACTTAAAAATTGTTAAGTGCCCAGCTAAAATCTTCCTGGATATTGTTCCTTCAGATGGCAACAAAGGGCAGTCCTGCTTCTGGTCTGAGAAGTCTCAAACTTAGATCCGCCACTGCACACCATTAACGGGGGTCCTCTCTTTTCCTGTTTCTTCAGAGTACTGTGCCTGAGTGGAAAATCATACCTCTGTTTGTGTGGCCTGTAAGGGCTGACTTGTTTAACTGGCAGTGAAATTCCAGTGACTTAAAACAGTGATGCTGAGTCTATTCATAAGCTTTTGCTAGATCATGATAGTAAGAGTTTATTTTATAACTGCCTTAATTGATCTAGGAAAATCACAAGAGTTCTGATGTCGCCACCCTTCTGGACTTTTCAGCATGTGGAACTTAAAGAATTAAAAAACTGGCTGGGCACGGTGGCTCACACCTGTAATCTCAGCAATTTGGGAGGCCAAGGCAGGTGGATCACGAGGTCAGGAGTTCAACACCAGCCTGGCCAAGATGGTGAAACCCTATCTCTACTAAAAATACAAAATTAGCCAGGCATGGTGGTGGGCACCTGTAATCGCAGCTACTCGGGAGGCTGAGGCAAGATAGCTGCTTGAACCCGGGAGGTGGAGATTGCAGTGAGCTGAGATTGCACCACTGCACTCCAGCCTGGGCAACTCAAAAAGAAACAAACCTGTGAAATGTATTAACTATCATGACAAAGCATCATCTTCTGATTATAGCCATTGAAATGTTTGGTCCCTGACCAGGTACAGTGGCTCACACCTGTAATCCCAGCACTTTGAGAGGCCGAGGAGGGAGGAATGAGTGAGTCATGAGTTTGAGACCAGCCTGATCTCATCTCTATTCCTAAAAATGTAGTTTAGGTCCCTGCTATATATAACTCAGTAGCCCTAACTCTTTAAAATATTTGATTATGGAAATAAGGGACAAAGATTTTTATGAGCCAACTTAAAGCCTCTGATTTTTCTAGATATACCACATGAGGGAAAATGTAATAAAAGGTCATCTTTATTAGGTGTGAAAGTTCACTCTTTTCATGGACAAGAAAATGCTAAGAACTAACATTTCTCAAAATCTTGTTCACAAGATGAAGGGGTTGAATAGCTAGTTGACCATCTTTGTCAGTTTCTGTGACACCCTACATGGTCCTGAAAATAATATCTTGGATTTTCACAGGAAAATCCGCTACTAACATACCACTAGGAACATTTTCATGGCTTTCATTACAGTTCTCATAGGTTTATTCTCTGCTTCCATACAATGGCAGAATGAACGCAGAGCCTGGAGAGAAGAATCCTTGGGATTTGAATTCCCTGACTATCAAGCTCTATCATTTAGGCAAATTGTGTATTCCCTTCAAGCCTCAGTTTCCCCTTCTGGAAATTGGAGATATCAGTCATTACCTCATTTGTTATTACAGGTGATTAAGATAATGTGAAAATACTCAGTTGTGTGGCTGGAATATATTCAGCACTCAATAGTTGTTATTTTAAGGTAAATCGGAATAATTTGATTATGAGAAAATTAAAATTTTCTTATGAAATAAATTTTCTCATGCTATATTTTTTTCTCAGTTTTGCTTAGTGTCCAGCCTATAATTTAGTCTAGGGTGATTCAAGTGTTCTGATGCCATGCTTTGTCTGAGCTAATACCTGCCTCTGTAGTATTAGTCATTTTTTTAAAGGGGAAGTAGAATAAATCATTTTGTTTTGTGCCCCACACCCTAATCCTCAATTCATTTAAATACAATATTTAAATATATAATTTATATATATTCATTATATATTTAATTTATATTATTTATAAGGTTTTTTGCTCTAAGTGGGAATTCTGTCCCAGCAGAATTACTAAGTGAAAATTCTGCCACCCTTCTAATTCAGGCCACTCAATAATGATTAGATAGTACATAATGTTGTTAAGGTACTTCTTATATCCTTACCCTAGTCACAATATAAAACATAATCTTTCCAGACCAGTTATGCTGTTACTTCAGTCATTTGAAAACTCTATGATTTCAACTTAGAGATATTCAGATAAAGCAATAGGTATTGGGATTTACATGATAGATCTGGCAAGCTTATTCATTCTAAATTGTTTTCTTTGGAGTGCTAAGGAAGCAATCATGCATAGATTCTGATTCCATTGTCTAAAATCAGAAACAGTTCCTTCACGGTCTTAGTAATACCCTTGCCCAGCCTCATGTCTCCTACCCTGGAGCTCATGTAGCATGCATCTGGCCGTGCCAATTTGAGACGTGGCATAGGCTTTCCTGCTTTGTCTGTGAAGGCCCTGAGGGCAAGGCCCGGCCCGGCCACGCATCTGCACAGAACCTTGGCTCAGCTGTGTGTAGGAATATCCCTGCAGCAATCAACACTTCAGCCATTCGTTCAACAAATATGTA